AGCTGTTGAAGTGATAAGTGGTGTGGTTGCTGATATCATGGCCTCAAAGTTCTTCACACCCCTCCCTTCATTCCAACCTCAACTAATAATCATGCCCCAGGGCCTCCAGACAGGTGATAGAGAATGGGCTATAAGTCTTTCCTAATGGAAGCCATGTTTGTCAGATAGTTACTGGCATTGTCATCTCTTACATGTGGCCATGTTTAATCAGGTCCTGGCTTATAGCACTGAGTGGTGGTAACAGGAATAATACCTGCCTCAACTGAAGGTGTATTGAGCATGACACTGGTGTGTGCCTGTGTTTGCCCAATTCTGTAGCCACTGGCTACATTTTCTTGTTATTGAAATATGGTAGTTCTAAAATGATGTACTTTAAGTGTAAGATAAAAGCTTTCACAACAGTGTATAAAATAACTCGTTATTTTTACATTATGTGTTAAAATGTTTTATATATTTTGGTTAGGTAATACATACTGAAATTTAATATTCACAATAATCAGGATTGAATGCAGGGTTTTGCACTTGCTAAGCAGGCAACCTCCAGCCCTTTTTGCATTGTTTTGTTTGTTTTGGGGGACTGGGGATTGACCCCAAGACATTGCACTTGCTAGGTAAGCGCTTTGCCACTGATCTACATCCTAGCCCTGGCACTCAGTATTTTTGAGGCAGGGTCTTGCTTTATGCTCAGTCTAGCCTGGGCTGTGATCCTCCTACTTGTGCTTCCCAATGTTGCTAAAGATGACAGATACCACCACTGAGCCCAGCCTTGGTGCTTCTCCCATAGCTGGGATCACATGTGCGCATGTGTGTGGAAACCAAGCTGTTTTTCCCAGAATCTATACCTGTTCTGGTTCCACTTAGACTTCTGAGAGGACTCTTAAAGTTGCATGTTTGTCTTAGTCCATTTATGATTCTACAACAATACCATACTTGGCCTGAGGTCCAAAATACAAGAGGCCCTGGTCCAAAATGCAAGATCTTACCTGAAAAGTAACAAAAGCAAAAAAGAATTGGCTCATTGTTCATGCAGTGGAGTGCTTGGAGGCCCTGTGCTCAATCTCCCGTGCTAGGAAGCGGGGGACAAAAAAGGAGGGGTGCTTTATAACTGCACCTCCAGAATAAAAAAGGAATGTTGTATCTGCATGTGGTAGAGAGCAGAAGGCAAAGCTGGGCAAAGTCTCAAGCATTTCCTGGCAAGATGTTGGCCCAAGCTGTGCCCAAACCATGACCCCCCAGTCTTCACCTCCCAGGACCTAGGATTTCAGGCTTGAGCCATTGTACCTGGCTCTTCAAGGTCCTTTATAAGCACACCTGGTCCCATCCATGAAGACAGAGCTCTCATGACTTAATCGCTTCTTAAAGGCTATACCTCTTCATAGCCCACTGGCAACATTTGAATATTGTAAGGAACACAGTCAAACCACAGTAAACATAAGACTGATTCTTGATCTTACTTTCCCAAGCCTACTCCCTTCTCCCCAGTATTTAGTAGTGGCAGAGGAGTCATCTTTCAATGTTCTCTTCCTCTACCCTCATATCTATTCCTTTATCACATTCTGTTGAGTCTGTCTTCAGATTATATTCCACTTCTCTCTACCACTCATCTCTTATAGGACCATTATCTCTGAGTAGACCATTGCAGTATCTCATTACTAGTCTCCCTACCTCCATTCCTGTCTCTCTGTAACTTCCAAGATGAACATTTTACATTGTCAAGTCATTCTCCTCGGTCTTCCATATACATGTCATCTTCCTAACTAGTAGTAAAACACTTCACCCTTATAAAAGCCATATGGGGGGGGGCAGGGAGGAAAAGTGGGAGACAAATGAGGGAGGAGGTAACATGTTCAACAAGAAGTATACTCATGCCTGTCATCCTGGCTACTCAGGAGGCTGAGATCTGAGGATCATTCAAAGCCAACCCAGGCAGGCAGGGTTGTGAGAGTCTGTGAGAGTCTTATCTCCAGTAAACCACCAGAAAACTGGAAGTGGCACTAAGGCTCAAGTAGAAGAATATTTGCCTTAAGCTGAAGAGCTGAGGGACAGCACCCCAGGCCCAGAGTTCAAGCCCCCACGACTGACCAAAACAGAAATGTTCTCACTACCTAACTGTAACCCCTCTGTACATCACCTTGACAATAAAAAAAAAATTGTTTTTTTTCATCAGTTGTGAGGCTTGAACTCTGGGTTTGGGCTCTTTCCCTCAGCTTTTCATCTCAAGGCTAGCACTCTACCACTTGAGCCATACTGCCACTTCCAGTTTTCTGGTGGTTTATTGGAGATAAGCGTCTCATGGACTTAACTGCCCTGGGTGGCTTTGAACCGAGATCCTCAGATCTCAGCTTCCTGAGTAGCTAGGATTATAGGCATGAGCCACAGGCACCCAGATGACAATAAAATAAAAAAAAATAAAAGCCTTACAGGATTTGACCCTTTCATTGCTGGATATTCTCTGTCTTTCTTAGCTTCTTGCCTTAGTTTACTTCCTGATCCCTTCAACTTTCCACTGAGTATCTTCCTCAAAGCCTCAGTGTTCTTTGCCATGTGCTCAGGGAGTTTGTTCTGCAATCAAGTCTCTGTATAAGGCTCACCTTGCTGTCTGCACAACCTTCTCTGTACATTGGTAATCTACTTGTTAAATACCTGAGCCCCCCCCCCCCGCCCTCCATATTATATCTACTCTGAACTTTGAGTGGACAACTGGTAGCTTCTCTGGATTGGTTGGATTCTTCGGTGTTCCTTGTAGAAGATGAAGGACTCTTTGTGCATACAGAATCCTAAAAAGTAGTGTGTCATCCAGATAAGCATGGATATGCTTGCAGTTTTCCCAGCATGCATATATTTGCACTTTAGAGTTTTGCCTCTGGATAATCCAGAGATAACATTTTTGTGGCAGACGTAAAAAGCGATGAATCCATATGAGAAATCCTATTCCCAGATGAGAGTGCTTCCTCAGGAATGCTAGGAGAGCTGGGGACCCGAGGCTGTGATTTAGTGACAGAGGGGAGTGAACTTATCCTAGAAACGTAAGAACAAGAGACTTCTAATGAGACCTGACAGTTCAAGGGCTGAAGAAGGAGGCTAATCTTTTTTTTTTCCTGCCCACCCAGTCTTCATACAAATGTAAATATGCCTCCTGCAACAAATTGCCAAATGTGGTTTTAATTTGTAAGTACCCCGCCTTGTCTTTCTCTTCCTCCATTTTTCCTTTTCTTTCTTCTTCTTTTTCTTCTTCAAAACTAAGTCACAGGTTTTGCACTTTTTGAACTGGACATTTCCTCCTGTCATTCTTGTCACCTCTTCTGATGTCCCTTTTCTTCCAAAGACATTTCCCCCATTGTTGTCAGAGAATTGTGAGATGAGAGTGGACTGCTCGGTTTTTGAAGTTCCCAGAAGAAATACATGTGCTCTTTAAACGGAATTTTAAAAAGAAGTAAGACAAGGATTGAATCCAATCTGAGATTTGAAGAGTGTCAGTATCGGGGCATCATACTTTATGTAGTGTTCACAGGATCCATTGTTGTTATTTATGACCCTGTCTGCCTTCCATTGTGGACTTCTTCCAGCCTTGGGGAATTTACATCATTCCTAATAGCAAAAGGCTTTCTGGTTCCCACAGAGTTGTTCAAAGCCTGACTCATGCTCCTTATGTTAATTGTTCAGCCCCGAAAATACAGCACTTACTGGGTGTGGTTGTAAAGGGAAAATCTACTGTACTTACAGGGCATGTTTAGAAGTGTTTCACACATAAATCTCCATTGCTCCCAATCTCTCCCAGTCATTCCCTTTCCCCTCCTTTCTTTCTGTCTGACTGAACTTCTAAAATATTGGGGTTTTTTTTCAGGCCACTAGTAAATTTAGAATAATAACACATCTAGAATAATAATAACAAATCTAGAATAATAACACAACAAAAAAATAATAACACATCAAAGTCCAGTATAATCCAGTAAAGCTAATAGTATTTGAATTTACTATTAAAATTGACTGTAACTGATTTTGACTTTCTATGATACTGGCCTGGGTCTAAAGTGATAGCACTGTAAGAAAGCTAAAGGTTACTCGTGACTCTGTGGTGTGGGCAGTGATTGGGTACAATCTATGACATCATATGGGGAGATAGCCAGGCATAATGATGGCTGCCATCTACCAAGTTCTCAGGGGCTGTCACTGTTTTTCCTTACGTAAGCCAAAGTAAAATAAGGACCTACTGGTGACTTATAAAACTGTCCCTTGCGGTGGCAACATTTTACTGGAGTTTGAGGTGGAAGAATACTTAATGTAAGTATTCAGAAAACAAAAGAAGTTAACACCTTGCTCGGATTATCGACTTACTAAGCAAAAGGAAAAGATTAAAAATGCATAGCATGGATCATTACTGGAGGAGGTTGGAGTCTTTTATATTTTATAATTACATCCTTATGAAATTATCATGGGTATATAAAAAAGTAGATGATCAATGAATTATATAAAACCCTGGTGCTGGCTAGTATAAGAAAAAATAAACTCTCAAGTTTTTAGTTTATCAATTGACAAACTCCAATTTTCAAGATATTGATACCAGAAGGTTTAACCTGATGTAGTCTTGAGGATTAAAGGATATATTCTTAATAGAGAAAATGTTGGGAATTTTTATAATCAAGGTGTTAATCACTGTGCCACCAAGTCTTCCTATAAATATGCTATGCCTAGCTCAGTAACTATACTTGCGGATCATTTGGTCCACAGAGATATCAGTCAGTGGCCTTGAATTCCCAGATGGTTTGGAATCTTTTATGTGATAGCCTTGTATGTTTGTATAGAATGTGTAGATTGCTGGTGGAAAAGAAGTTGTAAATCTACCAGAAAGTCCTAAATGAAAAAGTCAAAATATCCTGCAACACTAAGCAGTTTCATTATGTTTTCACAAAAATAAAGCTATCCATCTGAACTTTTAGACTGTAACTGTTTTCTTTCATGTTCAGCTCTCATTTCTGATTGAATCTTTGTTATCATTCCAGACAGAAAGAGCTCTCCATGGAGTATCTGATTATTTTGCTGAGTGTGCAAAGTCTCCTTCCTCCCAGAGCAAACGCAAGAGAAATACTCTGAAAGAAATGTAAGTCTAGCATGTTTCCTCTTTTTAATTTTTGACTGCCTGCATGTATGGATGGGTCACCTGAAGTATAGAATTAATTAAGAGTACATGGGGCACAGAAGAAAAAGAACTAAGCAACCCAAAGACAGCAATGGGAAGGGAGGAATGAGAGGAAAAGAGGGAACAGCCTACACTAAGCAAAAGGAAAAAAGTGTAAACATCACCTGATGTGGAAGAAATCATTGTATTGTCAAAGCTCATAGACTTCACAAACTTTATAGGCCATGATAATGACAATGTGCATGTGAAGGTTAAAATGTGTTTGTGAGTTTAACAAAGTATCACTCACTATTCCACAATACTGTGAAATAGGTGAAATTTATATAATCACCTAATCTCAATTAAAAAAAAACAGTGAGAGGAGGATGGGTTAGGAGTGGTAGATGACAGTGTTGTCACCCTTGTGTTCACACACTACTTTGTAGACTAGGAACTTCTGTGTGCAACTTAAAGATAATAACAATTTAAAAATGTTAAAAAAAAAAAAAAAGAGTACAGGAACCTGACTAACAAACCTCCTCTGGCACTGATCCTTACCCTCAGTCTCATATTTGCCCTTCCCACTATCCTATTGCTCTTGCTTTCTGGAAGTAGGAGTAGAGTCCTTGCTTCATAGGTATGTTGCAAGGAATAATTAGTTATAAGTCTTTGAAGATGAAAAGCACTTGTTGATGGTGTCTTTTATACAACTTCCAGGTGAATACAGACAGATAAAAAAATACATTCCTTTTCTGATATGCCCATTCTGACTTTAATATAATAATGATAATCTTTGTGTCCCTGATGCAGTGGGAAGAACATGAAACTATATATTGCATATATTTGTCTCTGCAGTAAAGCTTAACCAAAATAAATGTCACAGCTTCAATAGTTTGAATTTGGTGGCTAAAGAAGTTTCTTGCCATTCATAAAGTTCTTGCCATTCATAAAGTTCTTGCCATCAACTTCTTTCAAAAGTTAAGGTCTTTGGTCTCTGAATTTTCCCTGTGCAGTTTCTGTTCCTCAAAGTTTACTTTACAATTAGAGTGACAGTTATCTTTTCAGTTGACATTTATCTTTTCAGTTATGTGTCCTGTAGCAAAAGAGTTTTCAATTTAAAAGGAGGGAGGGAAGAAGGGAAGGGAAGAGAAGAGGGAGGCAGGGAGGGAGGGAGGCAGGCAGGCAAGCAAAACAAGATGCATAAACTTCTGTTTGAATAGCTAGAGCTACTTCCATATTGTAGATGAAGAAGCATTGAGGCCAGCTGAATGGTGATTATATCTGAGTAAAACCTTAAATAGCAGTAGTGAAATTCCAGATCATTCTTTATTCACAAATAGAAATGCATTGAGCATATCTGCATGTTTTAAAATCGACCTTAGGTAGTACTGCCTATTAACATATGAAATAAATTCACCTTATTTGTTTCACTTAAAATGTGGCCTCCATTATAATTCCATTGATGACCCCAGTGTTCAAAAAAATAAAATGCATCCTAATAGAATAGAAAATATGAAAGTGGTTGCCTAATCCAATCTGTGTTATCTAATCCAGGCTGTATTTTCATATATTTGCTTGGGGGAGGCAAGGAGCAAGCAGGTAGGACATGGCGAGTTTTTCAAGCATAAGAAATGTGTGAGGGAATTTGGAGGAAACCATGCCATCACAGCCTCTTACAGCATGCAATTTTTTTTGTTATTGTTTGTTTTAGTGTGAAAAGAACTAAAACAAAAGGCAGCACTGTGTGAGCAAATCACAGACCAGAAGAGACACTGTGGTGACATCTAGGGACTCCGTGAATGCAGAGGCACCAAGGAGGAGGGCTAATGGCAGCCCTCGCCCAGCCCACTGTCAGAGTCTGTGGGACAAACAAAGGATTACATAAAGACAGCAGAGAACAACTGCACAAAACTGGAAAATGTTAATCCAGCCTAACCAGAAGACACCAACAGCCAGCAAAAACCTCATCCCGGGGGGCAGTTCGAGACAGAACCTCTAAGTGGGAGCCCGGTCTGTAGCTGTGAGTCAGCACCACCAGGTCCAAAGCAAAGTCCACGAACTGCCAAAACATAACAGAAACTCAGGAACTGTGGCTCTGTGGAAGACTCCGACCACCACAGGAGAGTTTTTCTTGGAAGTGATCAATTAGTCCCAAGAGAAATGAGAGTGGAAAAAGCATAGCTGTCAGTGTTTTACCAGCTTCAGCGTTGTCAGATCCGGGGTTACTTCTGAAGCAGAATTTGGCAAAAAACCATGGCCAAAGAAGAGCTGTGTGTTTTGGAAAAATTTTCTCCTCCAGACATCTTGCAAAAAATAACCCAGGGCAGGCACAGCAAACCAGCTGAGCCACAAACAATGAAAGCTTAGCTACCATCCACAGCCACCCAACAGAGAAATGAAAGAAGTGGCAAAGTTGTAGTTGAAGATACAGTGTCCAAATCTGTGATAAGAGAGCTATGTGTATAGTTGCTGATACTTAGGAAATAATTATAATGACCCTGTCAAATAAAAAGTTTATATTTGTGCTACATTTTACTTTGATACTGTCATTTTCAGGAGACTAACAGCATTTCTTGTCATACTGTATGGCTATCTTAAGAAATTATTTTAATGGTAAAGTGCCATCATCCTTATCAAGGAGACCATTTGTGCAAGAATAGCAGGAAGAAATGAGTCATACCCCTCCCCCCATACATACACAACACTGTGAAGACATCATGATGATGAAACAGGTAAATGCAGTGCTTATGGTGTTGCACTTCAGTCCTAAGGACACAGGAAGTTGTCTTGCTTCTCAGCATGAGAAAAATAGGCTGACTGTCTATGTATAGTTCTGGATCCAACACCAGAGTCTAGAAACATGTTAGAAGTCCACATACTGGGCCCCACTGCAGACCTGCTGGATGAGAAACTCTGTGATTCTGAAATGTGCTCAACTTTGAGAATCTGGATTAATTGAAGACACCCTAATGTTTATTTCCTCCAGCCTGGCTACTATGGCCTCCAACTCATCATCCAGGGCCACGTATGGAGATATATACCCTGGACTCCCTCAAACTTGTAAAACACCTGGGCTCAATGTATGAGTCACTCTGTTCCCAGGATCTATAGCTTGACAGCCACAGCACCTAGGGAGCTATTACTTATACTTGCTATAATTGCTGGAAGTTTACAGATAATTCATCTCCACATTAGACATAGACGTGGCTTGCTCTTGCATGTCTCTGTAACCTGCCTTGGTCCCCACCTCCAAGGTCTTGGTTACCAAACTCCAAGAGAAACTTGGTGGCCAGACTTTTCCAATTTCCTTTTCGGAAGGCTTCATAGCCCATTTAGATTTCATCTTTGATTCCACTAAGGAAGACAAGAAACCTAGGAGCCCACCCTAGAAGTTTGATCTGCACTTTACTTGGCGAATAGAAGATGGAAATTTTTGTTCTGGGCATTTTGGACAGTTTGTATAGGAGAAGATCAAAGGCATTGGTAAAACTGAAAATCACAGGAATGTTGTCCACATTGAATAATGCAACATTAAAATTATAATTCTTTCTGAAAAGTAATTCTCTGGGAGGTATTTCAGATACCTTTTATGGAATAGCTTATAAACCCATCTTCACGATTGCATCTGATGAGGATCCATAGAAATTTTGTTATTTCCAGATTATCAAGATGAAGGTGGACCAGAGTCTGAGGCTGGGCCTGTGATAGCTTTTACACAGTATTAAAGCATTCGCATAATATCATAAATTCATTCAACGTCTACCCTCCCTTTTGTCTGCTCACCATTAAGTGGTTCTTTAAAGTAGCATCTACCCTAAGAAATAAGGAAAATTAAGTATATTTCTTTAAAGCTGTTAGCAGAAGAATAACCTAGAAACAGCCCAACAAAAATAAAGAATATGGAAATAGGCATTATAATTGATAGTTTTTCCTGGCTCTGTCTTTCCCATTCTCCTTTGCCCAGTTGTTTTATAGGGTGAAACATGTAAGGAAACAACCATTTGCACAGCACCATTTTATGTCCTGAAATTCAGTTGTAGTCATCAACCCTGGATGTGAATATAAATATTATTTCTTAGGTGTTCTAAATTCTACCTGTGCTTGTGCTTACCTGTGATCTCAGCTACAACACCCTCACCAGAAACTTTGTGCTGCCTACTGGTATCCTTTCCTGTTCCCTCCTAGCTTTTCTCCAGCTTCCAGAGATTTCTAATCAGAGCTTTTTATAGGCAAGGAAGAAATTCAATATAATTCTAACCCCAGTGGAGACAGCTTAGCTTGCACCTCCTGAGAACCTGTTGGACCTTGATTTCTGGCTCATCATAGCCACCTCCTTCCCCACCTCCCTTTGAGAGATCAGTGTTGTAAGGTATGCTTTTTACTGAAGATAGGACCACAGTGTATCTCATTGAGTCCTCATTGGAGGTACAAATAATCCAGGTCTTAAGACAAGAAACAGCTCCCTGGAAAAGTCTTTAAAAGTAAGGAATAATCCTACTAGAACAAAGACTACTGTCTACTCCAGAACTGAGAATTTGAACAGGAATCACTAGAGAAGTTGTTTTGTTTTCTTTTCTGTTGGTCGTGGGGCTTGAACTCTGGGCTTGGGTGCTGTCCCTGCGCTCTTCAGCTCAAGATGAGCACTCTGCTGCTTGAGCCTCCATGCCACTTCCTAGAGAAGATTTTTACTGACAAGTTTTTTGTTTCATCATTGGACCCAGGCTTTTTGTTTTAAGTGTAATACTTTCTTATAGCCTTCTTGTACAGTGGATTAACCAGAAATGGCCTTGGGTCCCCACACTGTACCATATGTTTGAGGAGTTTTGTCTTTAAGCATTTTCCTTCCAAATGTCTGAAACATCCCTAGATCTCTTGGTACTTGAGTGGTTATTTGATTCTTTACCTGTTTGGAAGTACAAAGGGGAAAATGGATGTCAGTGGAGTTGGGTTGTCTTATTAGGTGAGTTACAAAAGGGTTTCCATTGTTGGGAATAGTATGTGTTTCAGTATTCTTAACAATCTTCATAATTTGGCAACTAAAAGTGTGAGACTTTGATTTACAACTAACATTTATATTAGAAAGAGCAAATTCTTCAGCCAATACTCTAAATTTATATTCAAGTCTTTGTGATTCAGATGCTTGAAGAGATGCTGATCCAGTTCCATTAGTGTTGTAACTTTCAGCTCCCGCTCTCAATATCTTAGATTCTAAGGCACCTCCACATGCTTTCAAATGACATTTTAATAGATGGGTATTAGGTTTTATTTAATGTTCACATATGAGAAAGGTCTGGGAACAGTCCATGTGATTTTTTTTTTTAATATACATTGCCTTTTCTTTGCCACTGGAGGTTAACTGGTTTGTAGATGTGTGTATGTTTGTTAAAAACAAAGGAACAAACATTTGGTTCAGAGAAGAGATAAGTGCTGCGGCTTTTTGTTCCTTTAATAGAAAAGAAGAATGATAAGTTAGTTTCATTTTTTGGAAAAAGAAGAATTATTGGACTAGTGGTAGAATTGGTGCTTTCGTTGTATGTACAAGACCCTCAGTCCTAAGCACCACCAACCACCACAAAAGACTTCCCAAAACCTTCTGTGTTTTGATTTATGAAGAATATAGCTTATCTGAATGAAGTATCTCAAAGTACATCTTGGGACCACAAGGGGTCATAGTGTAATTGTTTTCTTTTTGGTATCTTTTAGCACAAATTGTTGTGTATGTCTGTGGCCTTTGATTTCAGAAAGCACTTGATGAAGGCAGGCACAAAAGGAAAGGAAACTCCTGTGGCCAAGAGAAGGGCCTGGGATTAGTGTGGCCATTCTCTGTTTCCTTCAGCTCTTTAGAAGGCACCACCATAATATTTCCACAAAACTTCAGTGAATGGAAAGCTAAATTTTCTCTCTTCAGCATGCTGTGACTTGAATATGGAACTCATTTAAATTTCTTCTTTTTCTTATGAGGAAATTTCCATGCTTGGTTTGTCAAGACAAGAGAGTTTGTTTCTTGGGATTGAAACAGTAATGAATTGAAACATGTTAGAGCAAGTTTTAAAAAAAAGTGTTTTTTCCTAGTTTAAAGCTTTCCTCAGTGCAAAATAAATTAAGCATTGTAAAATGAAGTTAATTCAAGTAATTACTCAATGTAGAAGTTCTAACCATATATATCATTGGTATTGCAACTTCAGGGTATAATTAAATGCTCAGAAATCCTACAGAACTTCCTCTAATTTGGTTTCTATATATATTTAACAAGACAAGGAACAAATATGTGTCCCTATGCAGTGTTAACAGAAGACTTGAATGGATGAGATTATCTTCAGATATCTAGAACTCTTAGATGCTAGGTTTGAATTTAACTATATTCAGTTGCTTTATTTGCTGGTGGATATTAACATATTACATGTCACATTATAATTGCCATTACTGTTCGTATCAAAGAATTGATTCTTAATTTGGTCCTAAGGCATCTTGATCAGGTGCCTGCAAATATCAGTTTAACAGATTCCCAGAATAGCTTTCTTCTTCCATAGAATTAGAAAGCCTAACTGACATAATCACAGGAGATCTCCTATTGACACTTTCTTGTTCTATTTTAAACTACCTAGACAATTTGAACAGTTGTATATTTCTAGAGGATGAAACTTTATGTAGTAGATATATACTTGTTTTATGAATAGAGAAAAATGTTTTAAAATTTTGTGTCTTTTATTCTCAAAAAAAAAATAAAGGATTAAATTGGCCATTAAGATTTTGTAATAGTCCTTACAATGTGACTTTGTTCCTACTTCTCCCAACTGTGCTTTAAAATGGACTTCTTGGGTGAGGCTAAGTACATCACCTTGACTATTTTCTAGATAATCTTCACATTCCTAAAGTGTATTTATTTCTCATGTTGTAAGTAGATCTAGTTTTGGGGGCTGATAAGGTCCAGGGCTAAGTTTTTCTCTTTTTTTTTTTTCTACTTTTTTTTAAATTGCTAGTCCTGGGGCTTGAACTCTGGTCCTTGGCACTGTATGTGAGCTTCTGGAATCAAGACTGGCACTCTACCACTTGAGCCACTGGTCCACTTCTGGTGCTTTTTATTTATTTATTTATTTTTTGGGTCCGGTCCTGGGGCCAGACTCTGGGCCTGGGCGCTGTCCCTCAGCATTTCAGCTCAAGGCTAGCGTTCTACCACTTGAGCCACAGTGCCACTTCCGGCTTTTTTCTTTGTGCTTATGTGGTGCTGAGGAATCGAACCCAGGGCCTCATGCATGCAAGGCAAGCTCTGTACCACTGAGCCACCTTCCCAGCCCCTCTGGTGCTTTTTTTTAAGTGGTTAATTGGAAATAAGAGTCTCAGGGACTTTCCTGCCCAAGCTGTCTTTGAACCACAATCCTCAGAGCTCATCTCCTGGATAACTAGGATTACAGGAGTGAGCCACCTGCACCTGGCTGTTTAAATGTTTTGGGACAAATCACTGACCTTTCAGGCCTCAGTTCTTCATCTGTCAAATATTATTATCTAATATTTCAAGTGCCACCTATAGCA